GTTGTGAGTTGGCACCCCACACCCAAAGTCAGCCAGGTGGTGAGAAGTATCTCTCTGAGGGGTCCTTTCGTGGGTTCTTGGAGACTGCTGTCACTGGGAGAACTTTCACCTGCGGTTTCCTTGAACTGGCAATGCAATGACCCTTGGTTACCACGGCCTCTGCTCCTGAACTCAAGGAATCAGATAGATTGACTCTATTCTCTGAAGTCTGTTTGCTTCTCCAGAGGATCTGACCTTAGAATCTGAGATCATCCCAAGCTGATGTTCTTTCTCTCACTTGTCCCAAATTGAATGCACAGAAAACATACATTTGTCTGAGCAGCACCTGCTAATGCTGCTACCTCAGGCTATATAACACTGCAGTCACTTCTTGCTCGACTTTTCCACTGGAAGTCAGCCACCAGATCCCATGCCTGTTACATTTCTTAGGTAGGAGTTGGATTGTCCCCCGGGTCTTCTCACTTTGAGGAACATGCATCAACCCTCAGGATTATCTCAGTGAGTCCATTCTTAGTAAGTTGAGGAACTGAACTTAATTAACCTCTCTTATTGTGATGAGGTGGGAAAGGAGAGCTCAAAGAACCCATGCAGGGCTCCCTAAAAATTCTCTCTCTAAATGTTCTGCTTTCTGGACCCTTTTATAACCTTTATTTTTAGGGATAGAGCTATTAGTTCTCTACATGGTTTTTGCCACCTGCTTTAAAATCTTAATTTAGCACTGCTTAATTTTGGAGACATAAAATGGCATCTGAAACATCTATTTTATGTATATGTTTGTATATAATATAAAGGTATCTTCATGTTTATTTCTGTTTCCTCTACAGAACCATTTGTTCATGGATGACATGAACCAAGTCTGTTGTATTCACCATATTAGGTGAATAACTACATAACAGGCATTCCTACAATATTGATTGAATGAATGCATAAACATGTATTTTTTACTTATTCATACAAATACACAGAGATAGCTCAGAAAGGCACACTACCCAGCTCTAACCAAGAAGCCATATAGTCCCAAAAGTAATTATCATTTTTTTCTACGAAAAAGTATTTTTTCATTTTTGAGGCTTTCCTGTAAATCCATCAGTTAAGTAACAAACATTTTTTCCAGAGTTCTACACAGTTCTGCCAAAATGTCAATCACGCCATGACACAAACAGGCACTTTTTAAAATAAAGCAATTTATAATACAATTGTATACTAAGTGCCATGAATTCTCAGCTGTACAAAAAATATCTGGCCTCTCTGCTAATGAAATGAAAGAAAATATAATTGACAGTTATGAGATTTCATTGTAATGCACATGATGTTATAATAAATCTGGTTACTGGAAATTCTGTGGTACACTGTTTAAAGGATATTAATTGATCGCCTTGGAGTCAGTTTACTTTGAAATTCCTCTTGGCGAGCTTTGATATGAATGTAGTATACATATGAAGTAGATTATAACAGGTCTTTTCCAAGACCAATGCATACGATCAGTGAATTAGGAGGTTTATAAAAACCTCTGTTACCAGCTATGGCCAATTTGTAACAGATGTGGCAATAAAAATTCCAATGTGAAACTAATAAAAAGATTCTCCATTTTAGCCTTTCCATGGTACCTTTTCTGAATTAGTAATTTTAGATCAAATAAAGGAAAGCTCCTCTCTGCAAAACAGAACCACCCCAAAATTTTAAAAATAAAATAAAACTAGTTTTTTATATGAAATAATTTGACAATGTGTGATAAGTGAGAATTTGTTTAACTTTTAAAATGTAGGGACTTTGGCCTGGGTGCGGTGGTTCACACCTGTAATCTCAGCACTTTGGAAGGCCGAGGCAGGTGGATCATGACGTCAGGAGATTAAGACCATCCTGGCTAACACGGTGAAACCCCATCTCTAGTAAAAATACAAAAAATTAGCCAGGCATGGTGGTGCACGCCTATAGTCCCAGCTACTCGGGAGGCTGGGGCAGGAGAACAGCTTAAACCCTGAAGGCAGAGGTTGCATTGAGCTGAGATTGTGTCACTACACTACAGCCTGGGCAACAGAGCAAGACTCTGTCTCAAAAAAGAGAATAGAAAAAAAAATGTAGGGGCTTTGTTTTAAGAAAACAAATGTGAGGGCATTGTTTTTTCCACTGTTGGTGTTTTCACAGCAACATCCTAACAAGATTCATTAACATAAAATTTGGGTGGAGGTTTTACAGCACGCATCAGAGAAAATCTTCAAAATGTGTGAACATCAAGTTCAGAAAGTACATTTGTAATCGTTTATAATCTAAAGTACTCAGAATATCAGAACGCCTATACTTAAAGTAAAAATTTCGTTCAAACATACAAACTTAATTTGAGTAACATATAGAAAATATGTGGATGTTTAAATAAACGTATCTTTATTCTTCCAGTCATGTCTTTGACAGTGTGTAGACATAATCTGGGTTCTGAAACCAGGCATTGGCAGAAGCACAGAGCAGGGGCTGAAGAGATATAAGAAAGGAGCATCCAGATGTAACATGATAGGGATGAGCAACGGGGCAGAGTCTACCAGAGGTCTCTGCAGAAGGATGGAATGCTCGAATGCTCTTCAAGGTTCCATCCTTTGCTGCTCACCTTCCTTATTCTGTACCCTTTCCTGGTTGAATGCATCCACTCCCTGGTATAGCAGAGACTCAGAGCGGCCTTCAAATATTCACTGTTCTCCTATATTTTCTTTGTATGCCAGTCTGTAATTTTTCATTAAAATTAGCTAAAAGATGTTGCACCTTTCAAGTGTATGACTGAGCTTAACAGTGTTTAACCATGGCTTTATTAAGTAAATGCTTGAGTCTTCAATATTCAATTCAACTTACTTCACACTGATGTTTGCAAATACATTATCATCCACTCTTACGTATTTCACATCAACCAACTTGAAGTGCAGAAGGCTTGCACTCAAGTAACTCTTCTGGATGACAAAGCCTATGACTTGAGTTCAAGTCTCTAACCAACAACAACTATATCAACACTGGTGAACTCAATGAGGGAACTCAAGGTTGGAAGGTACAGGCCCTTTCCTGATCCTGCCAAAAGCATCATAGCATGACCTATGGCAAGGGCAGTAATAACCACCAGAAACTCCTGCAGTTGCAATGAGTACATAACCAAGATGAATGCAAACACCTACCAGGATAACCTACTGGGGTTTCTTTACTTGTTCTAAATCAAGCTGTGGGTCCCTCAAATGGGGCCTTTCGACTGCAGCTTTCTAGTCGGCTTCCTGCTTGGTTCTATAGCCCACAAACAGGAGTTTGCCTCTTCATCTGAAAGCCATATTCTTGCCTTCTGGAATATCGGATAACCTCAATTTGATTTCGACATGGCCAACACATCAGCAGAAGCCCTCGTGCTGAGAACAAACTGGGGGAAGACATTGCTGGCAGCGTATGCAACAGTAGCGATTGCAGTTACCAAATAAGAGAAACCTTTTCTAGCCTTGCTGCTCTCCTTTGAAGACTTTGTACTAACTGAAGCTTCAGTGAGATGCTAACCAGAGAAGGCCAGCACTTTGATGTCCATAAGGGAACAAGGAACAGAAGCAGGAACGTTGAGGCCCACATCCTGGCCATTCAGTGGCTCCCGGCACAGAAAGGGCTGCTTCATATGCAGCACAGGTAGCTTCGAAGCAGCAGACACCATGGCCCGCACCAGGGGCTGCAGTGCACCTGCCACGTCATGGCGCATGGCCAACAGGATGGACGCTAATCTATATTTGTAACAGAACTCCAACTAGCTGGGCACATATCCATCCAGTTAAATTACTACATTACCCAGAATCCTATGGCTTATGTTCTAGCCAATGAGAAATAAGCAAAAGTGTGGTGCTTCCCAAAGGTTCCTTTCGAAAGGAAGGTCACTTTTCTGCTCCAAATTGCAACTCATAACAACAAACAAAGATATGAATGTTAGAACTTTGGCAGCAGATTTTGACCTAAAGGTAGCTGAGAAGTGAGCTGGAACGACACAAAATTGTTGTAGAGTTATTATTCTCTCTTTGAATTATATATCTCCAAAATTCTTTTAGGTGAGAGAGAAATGCATTTTTTGTCTTCATTAAATCACTGTTACATGCAGTATAGGTAGTAAAATTGAATCCTAACTCATAAGCATGGCTTTAGGAGGCAACCCCGAAATCAATACACCAAACCCCACTTTCTCTCCAAAGATTACAACCTAAATATCCAGCCTACCTTCTGGATAGCTGTATCTGAATATATCAACACTCTCCCCACCTCCACTCCACACACACACAAAACTTAGCAATAATAAAACACAACTTGAATTTCCTCCAAAATATGCTCTTTCTGCTGTATTTCCTAGCTCAGTTTGAAGAAAGGTTCAATCATTTATTTGCTGAGCAATATAATTGGGGAATCGTTTTTCTCCCCATTCCTTCACCATCTGCCGATAACCTCCTCCGGCAAGATGTCCAGGATCAACCTACCAGCAGTTATGACATATTGTTCTCCATCCCATTGTCACCATTCTGGTTTTGACCCTTACCAAGCCTTGCCTGAATTGTAATAACAGCCTCTTAACTGGTGTGCCTGCCTCTAGTTTCAACTCTGTTAACTGCCTCCTACAATCCTATATGAAAATCTAATAGCATCATTTCCTGGATTAAAATCTTTTCATGTCTCCCACTAAGGATGGAAAAAGTCAGTTTCCTTGGCATGGTATTCAGCGCCCTGAAGGATCCAGGCAGCACTGAGTCCCCTAAAGCAAATTCTAATAGACCGCTCTTTCCTGTCTCCTCCCAGTGCCCACTAAAGCAATACTCGGTCTCTGGAAAGCCAGGCTTTTCCAGTCCCTAGTAGCTTTGTCATAACATTCCCTTCATCTGGAATGAGTTTTCCCCTACTTACATGTCCAGATAATTCACCAAAATATCCAACTCGGGTGACAACACTGCTGTGAAGTGATGTGAATCACTGATGTTGCCTAATAAAATTCATATATACTTTTAAAGTTGTACCTTGAAAGTTGTGTACCAATTGTTGATGTGCACACTTGACTCCCATGATAAATTTCCTGAAGTTGTAAAATTGAGGGGCATATCTTTTCATCTTGGTAGTCCCACCTGAAAAATAATAGGTATTTATTACAATGGTAATAGCAATAATTGCCAACTCTAATTGAGAATATCCTATACACTGACACTGTTGTAAGTACTTTATTTGTATCTCAATTAATTACCAATGAGCAAGCACTATTACTATTTTACATGTAAAAACAAACAAAGGTACAAACACATAAAGTAACGTACACAGCTAGAGGGTCAGGCTTTGGATCTAAGAAGCCAGCTTCACATCTATGCATTTAACCTTAGAATGGCTACATCAGGATGTTCCCAAATAAGCATCTTTGCTTTCTTCTCATTTCTCAAATTGTCCAAGGCCTTATGAGGTTCAAAAACAGATGCTAAATTTATAAGTAGAGAGTGAAGGTCAAAAAAATGTATTCATATTTGCTGGAAAAAAAATGGATTGCCCAACACAGAGATTTCCAAACATAGAAGATGATCAGAACTCCCTGGGGAACTTTGTAAAATACACATCCCCAGTCCCAACCAAGATCTAGTAAATCAGCATCTCAGAAGTTAAAGGAAAATTGGTTTAAATATAAAATTTCTGGGAATTTTAAGCAATGTGCTGCTATTTAGACTCAAGTCCAGAAATACATTTACTTACTATGTCTCCAAAATTCCCCAAACCTGTAAGTCTAACCTACTAAGATGTGAAATTAGCTACCTTGGCATTGATCATTCTCAGTGAACCCATGCTGGCTCCTCATGACCTTTCCTCTACAAACTGTCCATTTCTTAACCTACTAAGAGGGTTGCAGGGTTATCAGTGTGCAGTTGTGCAGCTTTAAAACATAGTTTGTCTCATTTATGATAATTGAGGCAACACTTTCCATTAAACAGTATTTCCTTTCTCCATATATTGTCAAAATATTTCTGGCAATAATTCTCCAAGTCACTTCTGTATCTTAGGGTGTATAGATCTAAATCCAGTGTATGGAACTCATTTCAAAGAAATGGGCATGTTCTTCCTCTTAGCCATGTTGTCCTGTCCTTTCAAAATGATAGAGAATTTAATAACGTTATTCTTTAAAATATCATTTTATGTTCATATTAATTTAATATTAATTTAAAACATGTTTTAGTTTATTAACTATTCATATTTTATTTTAAATACATTTCTTCATGTCAATTTACAGAAGAATTAGCAATTCAGACAAAAGCACTATCAGGAGCGAAGGAGTGCATATGTCACATGAGATGTGAAGAGATATAGGTACAGCTTAAATGCTTGACTTACTTTAGCCTGTATGATACAAGTTTAATTGCATTTTGTTAGCTTTAAAAAAAAAAACTGTTTCATGCACAAAGTGAGATTAGTGCCAGAATTAGAACACGGATCTCCTGATTCTTAAACTGACACCCTTCTCCCCTTATCATCTAAGTGGTTTTCAATGCTGTATAATGCACATATAACACAAGTTTGAGCATTGTGTAAGTTAGAAAGATTGTGTCTGACAACCAAGGTTCAAAGGCAGAAAATGTCCTTTACAAATAGGGTGACTCTGGACAGGTCCCTATTCTCCCTAAAACCTAGCTCCTCATCTTAAAGTTGTCCACATCTCATATTCTCACTATTTGTGTTGACTCACATGAGTTAACACATATAGGGCTTAACACAGTGCCTGCGGATATTATTATTCGTCAGATGATATCCCTTAACATCAATAATAGAATGGTAATGACAGAAATAATTCTTGGCGTAATTGTCTGGCCTAAAACAATAGAACTTGCTCTGTTTCCTGAAATATTCCTTCTCATCTTTCTCAAATTTAACTGCTATATTTATTTTCATTTACTTCTTTTAAACTATGGAAAACATTTTATGAATTTCCATGTCATTCCTGTGCAAGGACCATGCTCATCTTCTCTGCATCCAATTTTAGTATATGTGCTGCCAATGCCAGCACGAATTGACATATTTAAATATGTCTATTTTTAATATCTCACAGGATTTTAGGAAACAGTATTAGTATTTGGCATTTTGAACTAACCAAAAGCAGGATGCTTAAGAATTTAACTCAAATTGACATTAACATTGCCACTTTCATAGGGGTGGTGTAAAAAGTTACGATGTTACTAAAGACTCAGCTGGATTCACGTCAGTGCTAATAATGCTTGAACCTCAGCAGTTATCAGTGCAATTTAAAAATGCTTTCGACATTTCCTCACAAACCACACCTCCTCCTAAGTAATTCCTCTTGATCATTCCAAAGCATGTCTTTAACGTGCTGACTTCATCGGCACATCAGACTGAATAGAACAGACAAGAAGAGGAATTTTGACCCCTTTCACAGGCACATATCATCAGAAGGCAGATCTTCCATGTTCTCTAAAGAGGAACAAGGGATTTACTTATAAGAAATAACTCCAAAGCCCTTTGATATGAGACAGGGCATTGGGTCTCCAGTTACTACAGAGCGAATTAAGCTTTATTTTATTTAACTCTTATTGAACCCATCACTTAATGTTTCAAAGTAAACAGAGTGGGTGCTATAGAACATGGTTGCCCTGGGCCGACAGCAAACGAAGGGTGTCCCACACAAATACTGATGGAGTCATCACTTTTTTAAAAATTAAAAATCAAGACATGAAACAGTGTAGTGCTCAATTTTTGTAATTAACTGGGATAAAAATCTAACAATCATACATTTCTCTGCAGTAAATTTTAATCTCCCTTAAAAATTTGATATCTTGTCCATTGTGACAGATGAGAGGAAAAGTTTGATGGTTTATATAACACATTAAATATAAAAGTTATCTATCCTCAAATAAAACTACTTTTTGGTTCAACAGAATTTAACAATAACCTTTCAAATATGATCGATCACTAAATCCATCAAAGATACAGTACAAGACAACATTTTTATCACTACCTAGTAAAATCTGTCTAAAGAATCTCGCGTGAAAACAAGGCATGATTAAAGTATTTCAGTTTTCTTTGGGGTATGTAAATGTAGGTCAGTATGTTTCAGTGGTCAAAAAGAGGTTAATGCCAGCTGTAGGCTTATTCAAAAGGTCCATTTGAGATAATAATTTTGATAGCGTGGTAATAATTTCCGGACATTCCCCCACCTCGTCATTTTACCAAACCTTGAGAAAGCCTTCTGATTCTTCCCATATATGCCACTTTTACAAAGGAGTAGAGGCTTTGAAAGAAAAACATTTTTGGCTCTGTTAATGCTAGTGTATTCTTCCAGCCCAGTATTCAGTGTTCAGGACTGGACAGGCAATTACATGCAAATTTGTTGGGAGCTAGGAGGTTCATTTACTACATTCAACCCCATAGAGGAAGATCAATAGAAGTGCAAAACTTAATCCTAGATGAAAGCACCATGTTCAGGTAATGGTTATAGAGTTAAGGCCCTCAGAAGAATGTTAGGAATCAAAAGGGCATGCTAGAGAAAGGCATTATGCATAGTGCTTTTTTGAACCATATGGGAAAGACAACAGACAAAGTGAACCAAAGAGTTGGAACACAAGAAGGTAGACATGCAGTTCAACACAAATTGTTAGGGTTTTTCAAAAGATATGAATGAGGATTGGACCAATTAAAAATGGCTGCCTCGAAAACCTTTTGTTGGCTATTTAAAGAATAGTGGGGTGCAAACAATGGCTCAAACGTAAACCATGCAAGCCATGCTTGCATTTAACTCTGAACTAAAAGGGGAACTCTTTATTGCTAGTTTTCCTGTCTCTCAGTTTTTGTGTGGGTTTTCCTGATGTCTTCCCTGCCCAAAGCCACATACTCTGTTGACATTTAATGAAAGTATTGAGCAAGTCATAAGAAATATCTAGAAGAATATATACGTTAAGAATTATCTTTGATTTCATGGAAGACAGATAATGGAAGAGAACAGGGTGGCAACTAGTTTGTGTTGTAGAAGCTGGTGATTGTTTTGATTGGTTGTTAAGAAATTTGAATATCACCACAGAATATGAATGGGTATGTAGCCTGCATTTCCAGGGGAAAATAAAAGTCTTTAAAGCACATAATTAGCTTTCATCAATACCAACTATCAATGTCTTCAGGAAGAATTGTAGGTACTCGACCTGGTGTCCAGTCGATTATCAGAGGATCCTTGAATGATTTCCAAAGATCTCATGCACCAGCTAAAATTGTACGCAAATTTTTACGTATGTTTTGCCATTTACAGTTCCCACTTACTGAAGAAAAAAGTCTTTAAGAAGATTTTAGACATTTTTTTGAAACAGAAAAAAATACAGTGTCTCTTACGAATAAGAAAATGGGCCAGCAGTTTTCAGAGGAAATGTCTGTGAGAAGGAAATGGGGGAAAAGTCACAAAGACAAAAAGGCTCATTAGACCAAGATGCAAGTCTGACCCAGAGAGAAGAGAGGAAAGAAAGCAACCCCAGGCCATCATGTGGCAGAGATAACCAAGGCATACTTCTTCCTGTGAGACAGGGAACTCCACTGATGACTAACTTTGGTTCAGGAACTCTCCTAAAACCTTCCACAGGCCACAGATGAGTTCCCACCCTGTTCTTTTCCATCCTTCTTAGGGGACAAGTGCACCAACATGGAGAAACCCCATCTCTACTAAAAAAAAAAAAAATACAAAAGTTAGCTGGGCTTGGTGGCAGTTCCCTGTAGTCCCAGCTACTGGGGAGGCTGAGGCAGGAGAATCCCTTGAACCCAGGAGGCAGAGGTTGTAGTGAGCCAAGATTGCACCACTGCACTCCAGCCTGGGTGCCAGAGCAAGACTTCACCTCAAATAAAAAAAAAAATACGGTGAAACACAAGCTATTAACCGTACAATCCCAGATTGAATTTTTTAAATTGAATGAGAGAGGCAGGTAGGAAAGAGCATGACCAATAGATAAAACCATATAAGAAAGCCTCAGCAATCACAACCTAGAAACATAATGTATATGACTCAACATGATTACTTTGGTGAATTACAATGTCATTTCAGAAAACTACTCTCACAGTACTTTGATAATGATACATATAAGTGATACATCAAAAAAAAAAGTATTCTGGCTAGGCTTTGGTTTAGTAACATTGACTCGATTCTGATCTTGAAGTTTAAACTAGCATGCTTAATCTATGTTACTTAATGGAACCTAATCACAGGCAGTTATTTCCATGAGACAATTGTCTAAAATCTTGGCTTAATTCTCTGTGCGGAAACGTAAAAGAAGGGAGAGAAAGCAACTTCAAGAACAACAAAAATATAATTTTAAAACATAAACATATAAATAACAAACTAGAAAAGTATTTATAGTATACATTGCAAATCCTTAAATTATGAAACACTTTCACAAATCAATAATAAAATGATAAAATACAAATTTAAAAATTGGTAAAAGTAACGCATAGAAAATGTGCAGAAGAAATACACCCAGATCATATATGAAAAAATCAACTTCACTTATAATGAATAAAATGCAAGTTAAGGGCCATGCGCGGTGGCTCACACCTGTAATCCCAGCACTTTGGGAGGCCAAGGCAGGCAGATCACAAAGTCAGAGTTCAAGAGCAGCCTGGCCAACATGGTGAAGCCCCGTCTCTACTAAAAATACAAAAATAAGCTGGGTGTTGTGGCACACACCTGTAATCCCAGCTACTCAGGAGGCTGAGGCAGGAGAATCACTTGAACCGGGAGGTATAGGTTGCAGTGAGCCGAGATCGCACCACTGTACTCCATCCCTGGACAACAGAGTGAGACTCCAGCTCAAAAAAAAAAAAGAAACAAAAATGCAAGTTAAATAATAAGCTCTCATTTTCATTTATATAATTGACAATTTATAAAAATAATAAAATTTACCACAGGTAAGGATATCAGGAAGCAGTTCTCTCCAGGAAATAGTTTGAAAATTCTATTGAAGCCAGTATAATATAATATACTAAAGGCCTTAAACAAAGTCTGGTTTTGACCTAGATTCTAATTTCAGAAATAAAGCCTAAAGAAATATTACAGATATATAAAAACCATATAACAGTATTTAGTAAATGTATTCAAAATGGTAAAACAGAGGCTCGGTTAAGGATATTAATAAAATGAAATATTACATAGCCATTAAAAATCATGTTTAGACAAATAAGTATTAACATATGACAGATAACA